CATTTGTATCATTTTTCCCTTAGATTCTACATATAACTGATATCATATGGTATTTGTCTTTCTCTGTCTGGCTTACTTCACTGAGTATGATAATCTCTAGGTCCATCCATGTTGCTGCAAATGGCATTATTTCATTCTTTTTTATGGCTGAGTAGTATTCCCTTATTATATGTGTGTGTGTGTGTGTGTGTGTGTGTGTGTGTGTGTGTATACACCATGTCTTCTTTACCATCTGTCAATGGACATTTAGGCTGCTTCCACATCTTGGCTATTGTAAATAGTGCTGCTATGAACTTTGAGGTGCATGTATCTTTTCAAATTAGAGTTTTCATCTTTTCTGGATATTTGCCTAGCAATGGGATTGCTAGATTATATGGTAAGTCTATGTTTAGTTTTTTAAGAAACCTTCATACTGTTCTCCATCATGGCTGCACCAATTTATATTCCCACCCACAATGTAGGAGGGTTCTGTTTTCTCCACACCCTCTCCAGCATTTATTACTTGTAGACCTTTTGATGATGGCCATTGTGACTGATGTGAGGTAGCAGATAACTTAAATTGAGAAACTTAATACATGTGTAATTAGTGATACAAGAGCTGAGAAGCCAACAGGGGATGGTGATGCAACCAGAAGATTAGCAATGGTAAGAAACCAGCACCACTTCTAGGGCTGGAGGGACAAAAGGGTAAGTCTTATTATCAAAGACTAGAAGCCATGGTTGCCTGGTGGGAAAACTAGAATTCAGCAGAGGCCGTCTGGTGGGTAGCTAAAACCACAGGGGAAACCAGCCACTGCTGGAAGATGCTATCCAAAGATAAGCTAGTAGGAGAGAAACACCTTGGCTTCTCCCATCCTTCTTCTCTCCCATCCCCCACCCCACTCCCACCCCCCAGGCTTCCTATGGACCGAATCTCCTTGGAAGCTGGTTGGAAAGTAAGTCTAAGATACATGGTTTATGGGTGAGAGGTTGGAAATGAATATTAGCACAACAGACAATGTCCAACCCACTTCCCAAGGCATTAAAGAGAAATCTAGAGCTGTAAACCGACTGCTAAATTATGTCCAATTTACTTTTCTTTTATATAATAAAAATGATCTGCAAATCTCTGAGTAGCCTAGACATTATAGCATTTGGTACATAATGTAGTTGGTTAGGGAAAGTAATGCTAAGTATAGAAAGTGATGCAGCATAAGTACCATCATATTTTCTCATTAAGTGCTTAAGCAACAATAATGGATATCATTACACAAAAATATGTACTATAATCATAGAATTTTTGGACTGCATAAAGAAATGATTTAGTCTGTCTTAATATAGTTATACCTCTAATTGCATATTCATTATATAAGCATTCAGTCAAGACCTACTATGCAGCATACAATTTGCTAGCCCCCAGAAAAAAAATAAAAACTGTTTTCATAAGATAGGGTCATATCCTCAAGAAACAAACAAGATAAGAATTAAGAATGAAGTAAATGATACAAACATAGATACGATTGAGAGGAGCATACAAATAAGGAAGTAATTCATTTTTCCAGGGGAGAGTGAGTCAAAGAAGACTACATGAAAGAGAAGATATTTGAGCCAAACCTGAAAAGATAAGGAAAAAGCAAATGTTATGTTTTTCTGAAGCCTTCCCAGGCTCTTCCCTCATACACACAATAATTATTATAATCATTGCTTACATATCACCTTTCTGGATCAATTACAGTGCTGAATCATCTGTTTACTTCAAGAAAATGCTTAAAAAGAATCCCGTATTTTTCCATCCACTTGGTACTGCAAGAAACCTAGCAGAGATTGCATTGCATGCTATGGTGTTACCTTCTTTTTCTGTCATTCCTAACCCTGTCCCCTTGCTGTCCTGCTTCCTATATACTACTGAATATTTTATAGTAGCCGATCTTTGTTCTAGTTTGTTTTCTTTTCCAGTACAATCCAAGAGCCAAACAAACCTGCAATTCACATTGATCCAAGTTCCTTGAGACTATATTGAAAGACTTTCTTTGATCTCCCACATTTGGAAAAGGATTTAGATAACATTTTATATACTGGAAACCCTGCCCTTATCCAAGATGTTGATGGACTTCTGTAAGTCACCTAAATCTCACCACTTGTGTAGACCTTACCTGTTAGAAAGCCTCTAAAAATTTTATCAGATGCTTGTCTCAGATTCATTACATAGGACATTACATATCTATACCAATAGGAGTGAGGTCATTTTCTGGGATAAAAACTTGTCTCAGGGTCCCAAGGCCCACCCAAATTTTGCAAATGTCCACCCTCTTGGGTACAGTTAGATACTGCTTACATAGTATATTGGATATTCTTCTAATCCAAAGCTTCTATTGCATCCAGTTTAAATGAACATCCTATCACAAGATGCCAAAGAGTCTTTTTTCTCCTTTAAACAAACCTTGTAGAGAACCCTAGCACTAAGTCTTCTTGGTAATTACAAGCTTATATATTTTTATGCTGTGAGGAAAAAGAAACTGTTTTTAGGTGTGAACACAAATCCGCGAAGACAAAGAACAGCCCATTGTTTGGTATGAGTCAGTTCTGCCCCAACCTCTCTGACTATGCTATTCCCTACACATCACAGCACTCCTAAAGACACAATCATATTTTAATGTTAGCCTAACAAAATATGCAATGTTATTCTCTGCAAGCAGAGAAGGCTGAGCTTATATTAAACCCAGTCTGTTTGCTCCCGTTTCAATACAAGGGGAGTTTCTTGACTGTCTTACAGCCACTGCCCACTGTTTAAACTCGGTGTTAATGTCAAAACCTTTTTTTCCCCAAAATTATTGATTTCATATTTTATGTAGCTATGCCCTGTCAATGACCAGAAAAAAGGTGGGTTTGGAGTATGCAGCAGCATGAGAAAGTAGAAAATTCTTCTTTGCTATTTACTTTTGCTTATCCACATGACTGAATTTATAATTTTTGGTCTTGTTTATGATTATGGACAATGGAGGAAACAATGAGAGTTCATCACTTCAGTAGGTATAAAAAATATTTATTTGTTCATTTGTTGATGATCTGTTATACATTATCATGTGGCTGTCATAAGGTGTTTTGCTCTCTAAATGACTTAGGCATGAAAATGCTTTGGCTCACACTACAGTCAAAGTAACTGCCATTTTCCTTTTCTGGGTCCAACTAGTTGCCTTTGAAAACTCTTTTTGTTGTTGTCTTACCCTAAGATTAGGCCTCATACTCAGGATTAAACAGACTCAAACAAATAAAACTTACTGGTTAATCTGGTGCCTGTTCTTTCCAAGTTTGGATAGGCCCAAGGATCTTTTTCATCTTGCTTTCATGGCCTAGGGAATAAAAAAAAGATAAACAAAAGAGATGAAAATACAAGTGATAGATTAATAATTGATATGTGAGTTTTGAGTTTTTCTAAGTTGGTCTATTCACACTTGCCCCATTTGTCAAGCCTATACTTGGGGAAGTCAAGTAAATATACAATGTTCCTATAAAAGAACACAATGTACTCAAATTCTGATAGTCCAAGCCATTTGAGGAAGAAACTATTACAGAAGAACCACATGACTTCCTGGATTATGCTTTGAGAGCCATGTCATCTTAAAACACATATCCTTGTTCTTGGAGAGAGGTATAACATAAAAGAGACATTTCTGAATGGAAATAATATTGGGAAATAACTTCCAATGTATAGAGTCAATTAAAACATTAAGGATCTAAGCGGCACTAGATGGATAGACTATCCATATGAGCAAAAACCAGATGAACCTCTACATTACAACATACACAAAAATAAATCCCAATGGACTGCATATCTAAGCATAAAATGTAAAACAATAAAGTTTTTGGGAGAAAACATAGAAGAATGTCTGTGTGTCCCTGGAGTTGGCAAAGATTTCTTAAACAGGACACAAAAAGCACTAACCATGAAATTAAAACAAAAACAAAAACAAAAACAAAACCGGACAAATTGGACAATGTTAAAATTCCTACTTGGTGTCAAAAATCACCATTAAGAGAATGAAAAATCAACCAATTGAGGGGGATGCTATACACTATAAGTATATCTGACAAAGGACACATATCCAGAACATATATTTTTAAAAAACTCTTAAATGTTAATGAGAAAAAGACATATAACCCAATAGAAAAATGAACAAAGGACTTGAACAACCACTTCATAAAAAGAATATATAGAATGGTTAATAAGCATATTAAAAAACGTGCTCAACTTCACTAGCGATTAGAGAAATGCAAAAGAAAACCATAATCCCCCGCCCCCAAGAATGCATAAAACGAAAAAGATGAGGAAATACTAAATGTTGATAAAAATGTGCAGCAACCATTCTGGAACATTGCTTGGCAGTATTTATACAAAAGTTGAATATCATAGTATCTTCTGACCAGTAATTCTAATCCCAGGTAAATATGCATGTATTTTTGTTGATACATGTTCCAAAACATTTAGCTACACTAGTCATACTATTCCCAAATTGGAAATAGTACAAACAGCCAAAAACACTCCCAATCTGGTGAAAAAACAGTGATACATTTAGGCAACAGAATATCAAACTGGAAAGAATATGAAGAACACACAATTACACAAAACAAGGTAGCTGAAGCAAGTATTCAGCGGGGTGAAAGTTGCTCTTGGAAAAGGGGGCAGGGAGGCCTGGAAGGGGCATGCAGGGGGGCTTCTGGGGTGCTCGCGATGTTCTAGTTCTTCCTCTAGATTCTGGTTACATGGGTTTATTTAGTTCGTGAAAATTTATACAGATGTATCCATATTAAAAGTTAAAACTGAAACAAATGACAGAATAATGACAGCAACGGATCAGACCTTGCATTAAAAGCTCTTGAGAGCCTAATGAACTCCACTTCCCACCCCCGCCCCGCCAAGCCCTGCGCGCGCGCGTGCGCGCGCACAATAACGTGAGGACCTCATTGGCTGCAACTAGGGGCGGGCTTCCGGAAGCCGCGTCTTAGCACCGCCTCTTCCGTCTCCCCGTCTGCCCGCCTTCCCGCCATCCAGCATCCACGGCATCCAGCCCCGCGGCTTCGGCCCCTGGACCCAGACTCCCAAGGCAAACAGGGTCCCTGGTGCTTGGCGGCAGCTTCTCCTCCTCCGGTCACTGCCGTCAGATCGGCTCGCTGCCTGCCGCCATTATGAACATCCGCAGTGCTCGGCCAGACGACTTGATGGACATGCAACACTGCAACCTCCTCTGCCTTCCCGAGAACTACCAGATGAAATACTATTTCTACCATGGCCTTTCCTGGCCCCAGCTCTCCTACATCGCTGAGGCCGAGGACGGGAAGATGGTGGGTTACATCCTGGCCAAAATGGAGGAGGACCCAGATGACGTCCCCCACGGACATATCACCTCGCTGGCCGTGAAGCGTTCACACCGGCGCCTCGGCCTGGCCCAAAAGCTGATGGACCAGGCCTCCCGGGCCATGATAGAGAACTTTAGTGCCAAGTACGTGTCCCTGCATGTCAGGAAGAGTAACCGGGCAGCCCTGCACCTTTATTCTAACACCCTCAACTTTCAGATTAGTGAGGTGGAACCCAAATATTACGCAGATGGAGAAGATGCTTACGCTATGAAGCGGGATCTCTCGCAGATGGCAGATGAGCTGAGGAGGCAGCTGGAGCTGAAGGGGAAGGGCAGGTACGTGGTGCTGGGCTCCGGGGAGAACCAGGAAACCCAGGGCAGCATACTTCCTGGTTCCAAAGAGGCCTGTTGGGAGGAGAAGAACGCGGCTGCTGACGACAGTGGCACTGACAGCAAGGAACCCAGTGAGTCCACGGAAAGCACGTACGTCCAGGACAGCTCAGAAGACTCAGATTCCACCTCCTAGAACCTGCTTAAGGTATGTATTGTCCCTTCCCTGACCCAGTCTCTTTCTCCCCTAAATTCCTGCACCACACCTGGGTCGGCCCTATTCTATCCCATTCTAGCTCTGCTGGGTTTCACTGTGAAAACCACCTGTTGACATTCGGGAGGAGTGTAGAGTGGGTTGGGGGAAACTCATTGCTCAGTATTGGAAGTTATAAGGACTCAATACTGAAAGTAGATTAAATTCAGTAAAGAAACAAGTATTTATCCTGTCTTTTCGGTATGAATTTTATTTCAGGTATCCACATAGTTAATGAAAGAAATTTCTTCTTTATAGAATGACAGCTAATAAAGGCAGAAAGAATGATTGAATTGTAAAATTGTCATTTTGCAACTCTTGATGAAATAATAGATCTAGCCAGTTGTCATCAGTAGCTAATAGGTGAAAAGTTGGAGCACTTTGCAATGATGGATCAGACTGGCAACATGTGAAGTCAATGTTCAACATCATGATAAGGGAGACAAATATTATGTGCCTCCTAATGCAACAGGAAGTGCACAGGGTCACTTAAGAAATATTCTTGCAAAAAGAAAATCTTATGTATGTGTGTGTGTATAAAATTCATCTCGAATCCAAAGCTCTAGATCTATCATTTTTATTTAAAAAAAAAAAGAAGAGGGACATGTTAAGCTACAATTAGCCAAATCCAGATGAGAGAATTTGAACGGAACAAATGACCTGGTTTCTTCAACAAATAAACGTCATTTTTAAAAATGGGAGGAGGAATTTATCTATTAAAACCACGTTTAGAGATATATTAACCAAATACAACCATTGTGGACACTGTTTGGATCTTGATTTAAAAAAACCAAATATAATACATTTTGAGATGACCAGGCATATCTGAACATGGACTGTATGCTATTAAGGAACTGTTAATAATTTTGTTAGGTGAGCTAAATGGTGTTGTAGTATTATGTTCAAGTCCTTATCTGTTAGAGATACATATTGAAATAATTGGTTGAAATAAAACGAGGCCTAGGATTTACTTTAAAATACTCCAGCCAAAAAACGGGGGCGGGGAGAGGTTGGGAAGGGGGACATAGATAAAATAAGAATGGCAATATGTAATAATTGTTGAAGTTGGGTGCTTGAGGGGTTCGTTATACTATTCTTCACTCTTAAATGTGAAAAATCAACATAGAAAGTCAAAAAACAATTACTGTTCTTCCTACTAAACACTAACACTAATACTAAGCGCCACTGAAAAGTAGTTTTAAAAGACTATTTAATTTCCATCTAAGAACTTTGTAACACCTTCAGAATTTCAAGAGTCAATTTAGAAACTTTAAATTCTAATCCTACTCACCTTACACTCACATGTGAAAAAAGCAACAACTTTCTCATAACAAAGATGAATCATGAGTGACACACACTGTATATAATTAAAATAATTACTGTTTGATTAATTTACTCATTCATAAAATTTTGTATTTGCCTGGCTTGGAGCTTAGTATACTCCAGTGATTAGGACAGGCTGACGTTTACATTATAGCATTTAAGGGTAAATGGACTATATTTTTTGTACATTTTGATGCTGAAACCTCATCTGTATAGCAGACTAATCCCATTTTACTTTTATTCACTTATGGTTCCATACATTATAAAAATTTAGATACAGTAAGTTCATGAAGGTTAGAAAGAGCGTATCTTCAGAGGAGTCCTTCTTTGCATCTGTCATTTAACAACCAGAAGGTTTCACAGTGACCAATTCATTTGGTCGAAGGTTAAGACAAAGGCAGCAAATCAGTCTAAAAGGGAAGATAAAATTTAACAAAACTTAATGCCTTGAGAGAAGTGTTGTCAGATTTACCCCTGCCTAAAAATCCTGGAGGGCTCTATCAAGAATTTTTTTTTTAATGAACAAGCCTTTAAAAAATTTATCAATTTAAAAAATATCTGTATAGAAGGAGTTGTGTAATATTGATCTCATCTTTGTGGTTATTGGCTTCTCCTCAGTTACTACACTCTACCTGAGAAAGATTTTAAGTAGAACAGAGCTAACTAGAGATTAACACTGTATTTATATAGTTTTGTATATTACATATATAATTTGATGAATTCAAAAGCACTTAATATCTGCTATGAGAAACAAAAGTAACTATCACCCTAGTAGGGGAAGAGAAAATAATAAATAATAGTAAGAAAATTATTCTGTGGCAGTTATAAATCTGAGTGTCCAAATTCAGGAATAATTCAAATGTTTCTTTCTGTCACTGTAATTGAAGTTTATTTCTAAGATGAAGGAGATATTTACTTAACATCACTGTCCTTCTGGTGTGATATCTGCTCAGACATCTTCATTAGCCCCATCTAATCTTTGGTCCTCACTATTCCCTTCTGGGTCATTTCCAGTCAAAGTCCTCTTCAGGTCTGGGATGCCCACTGCCATGTTTGGGCCATCTTGGTAGCAAGAATATTAGTATGCATAGGCTAATTGTTCTAAAAATTAACCTCCAAATCTCAGTAACTTAATATAATAACAGCTAATTTCTCACATCAAAATAGTAATAATCACTAGTAGCACTATGAGAATTCTAGGTTATAGGTACTATTCTAAGTACTGTGTGTGAATTATCTCATTTAATCCTCTTAATATTTCTCTGAAGTAAGTACTGTTACTTCAAGATGAGGGCTGCATATCATTCAGATAATAAATGGGATGCAAACTCAGGTGGCGAGACTCCACCATGGCAAGGATTAAATGAGACAATCTCTATAAATTGCTTAGAACAGTATCTCACACACAGTTAAATATTCTGTAAATTCTAGTTCTTTATATAATCTGCAGTAATAGTAACCATTCAGGCTCTTTTCTTCTCCGCAGTAATCAAATGATAGAATGTTGTGTATGAGCAGCAACAGTTTGCAATCTTGGAAGGGAGACGCATCTTAATGATTAAAATAGCTTTCACTGACAAGCTGAATGTCAAAGCATTCAGCTGAATCAACGCTCATCAACAGCAAAGTTTCTAGGGAGCCATAGCAATGAAGACAGGTCAGTTCAAAACATGCTAGTTGAGGCAGGAGTGCCATCAAATTGATGCTTATCTCTTGACAAGAAATATGTGGATGATTAATAACAAAGAGGAGAAAAATGCAAAATCTTAAAATCTTCCATTGAGCTGGCAGTATTGAGTTAACCAAGGTTACTTCAGTGACTCTCCCTTTCTGGTTTATTCTTTCTGTCGCTAAGCTGTCATCCTAACAAAAAGTTGTTAAATGTTCACATGAGCATTCACTGAAATAGACTGTTCTTAATTTTACCAGACAACTAATTATAACTGGAATGATATAATGAAATATGGAAGAAAGTTAGAGACTGACAGGTCTGGTAAATTCCTAGTATAACCTTACCCCAGATATGCCAGAAACCATAGATTTCAAATGCAGCTGCACTCTACAAAGATAAAGAGGGGGTTGAGAAGAGATAAAATATTGTTTTGAAATACTAATCAGATAGATACGATTTTATTTAATTATTTATAATCTCTAACAATGTCACTTTTCAGTCAGTGTATGATACACATTTAGGATGACTGAAATACCAACTTTGTCAGAGGTAATGGCTAAAAACAGAGGCTTTTCCTAAATTTTGTACTCTGTCCATGCTAAGGAGCTTTACGGTAGCAGAGATAAGGAAGAAAGGCTAATAAAAATTCTGTGAATGGCAATGGTTCAAAGAGCTTTTCTGGAAACATTTTGCAATGCTATTTCTATAGACTAATATCCTCAGAACATCACAGGGATTTTTTTTTTAAAGTATAGTCATAAAATTCTGTTTTGTTTTCATAAAATCATGTTATCAATTAACATACTCCTCAGGCTGCCATTGCCTATTTTTAAAAAATCCTTGTAATGTAAAAATTTGAACTTAAGCTAATAAATTAAGGGCTATAATCATATTTTATCTTTATGAAAAATTTCTATACCCTTAAAGAGCAAACTATCCTAGGACATTTATTACAATGTTATTTGACTTTTTAAAATTTAATGTCTTAAAACGTATCAAGCAATATTTACTGAGAAAACTAAAAGAACTATAGAATGTCCGGTTTTTATTTAATTTCTTTTGTGTGCCTCTCTTAAAAGTATTTGAAACAAATTGAAAAAGGTAATGATGATAGTCTTTCTGACCTATTCTCCCGTATCTTACTGCTCTTTCATTATGGCAAATATACTTTTAAAAAAAATGAGATTTTTTATTCTATGCCTCTGACTGCCCTGCAGACTGATTGACTGTTCTTATTCTGGAAATGAGCTTTTCTGTAATTATGATTTTATACAAAAATGCTTTTTAACTGCTCTGTGCATAATAGTCAACCTTTGTCTTATTATTTTTGTGTGCATTTGATAGATGGGAAAAGGTAATACATCTCTATAGTTGTAAGATTCTGTTGTTGTTTTGTTTTGTTGTGTTTGTAGTTACTCAGTAATGGGCAGCAACACTCCACTAGCTTTTCTTTAACTTCTATAGTCCACTCACATATCACACAAACCTTTCTACCTTATTAAGGGTAGGGTCCTTGTCTCATTTGTTTCCTTAACTCCTGGCACATTATTCATTCATGGTAGATACTCAGTAAATATTCATTGAATAAAGAAAAGAAGGAAGGACCTGCCCAAATTATCAATGCAGAATTTAAAAACAGAAAATGTACCTGAGGTACTACTTCCTATTACCTAATGTAATTAGGACATTTTTAAGTTATGAACAGAGACATAATGGATATTTGGGTTTCATCTCCAGGTCTCATGGAAAGAAAATATGACTTACAGAATTGGACACATTGCATCTAGCTTATCAAGAGCTAAAAGGCCTTTCATTTCTTTAGAACTGAAATTTCTTTTTGAGTGGAGCAGGATGGGACAGAATTTGAAGATGACAAGAAAAGTAACAAGGTTTCTTTAGGTTTAAAATAGGATCTCTGGGGTAGATCTCGGCCTTCCCCTGTCCTCCCTCCTCCCCTTTCTCCTGGCAGAAATGGATTTTATGTGTCAGGAAAAGTTACTATGTTCTCATGGCAAAGAGGGGAGAAAGCCCAGAACCGTGTGTGGATCTCTGTGCTGCCAGCTGGGTTCTCACTGGCTTCTGTGGAGATACATCTAATCTAAACTAAGCGCCGTGTTAATCTGCTGCCAGAGTCTGTCATGGTTAAACCAGTATTTTATTCTTTCAGAGTGGTCAGAGCCCAGAGCCCTCTTTGCTCACTTGCTTTCTTCTCACTTCTCACAGCACTGCAGGTCCTCGTGTCTCGGCCACACCTGCCCTCTGAGCCCTGGCTTAGCCTGTGTCTGCTCTGCTGCATCTGCTCTGGGGTCATCTCACAGTGACCCCAGTGGCTTCTCACTCTCAACTCCCAGCCTTCCACATACCCTACAGGGATCATGAAGGAATGCGTGGACAGAAGCCCCTGCTGCACAAGAGCCAAGGAGGTTTGAGGCCTGCCATCACAGAACCTTCCTTGGCCTGTTCACACGATGCCGCCATTTTATTCTGTTTGTAGCAGTTCTGTGTTGGGTGTGGTTGTCTTGCAAGGTTGTTTCTTCCTAGAATGCTGAGCAGGGAACAGGGCAAACTCCTGACGCTCTTCTGCTTTTGGGTTTTGCCATTATTTGTCTGAGTTTTCATCCTGGAGGGGGAAGGCAGGACCATCAAGTCAGACCTCATGCCCCCTCCCTCCTCCTCCTCTGCCTTTTCTGACAGAAGTATTCAATTTTCTCTTCCTTCCTCTGGGAACCCATCTCTGTCATGTCCTCCCCTTTCTTGAGGAGATAGTCTCCTTCTCCTTCCCGGTGGGGAAGTGGTGAGGAAGGGCTTCTGCTATGCAATCAGAACTTGGAGATTTTAAGAAAAGGACAACCAGTAATTAAATTGGAATATCTAATCAGCTTGTTTGTGTCAATCTGGTTTTTTTTGTTAGTGACATAACTGGCCATTTATTGAGAACCTGTAATTTTCAGGCATGATGCTAGGGCCTTTATTAACAATATATTGAACTCTCTCAGCAGCCCTAGGAGGTGGGTGTTATTATCCCTGTTTTGTAAATGGGGGACCTGAAGCTCAAAGAAGCAAAGTAAATATCTAGGATCTAATGCAAGTCTCTTTGAATTCAAGGCCAGACTTCCTTTTCCTTTTCTACTGCTACTTTTTGCATTTTATTTATAAAAGTGGGAAAATCATAGCAAAAAAGGAGACTCTACTATTTTAAAATATTAAGATGTTAAGTGTTGACTTAATACATGGCAGCTGTATGTCATTTATAAATATTTATATAACCCACCAGTATAATCCTGTTTACTATTTTTTCCCCAGTTAAAATAAGTGAAGACAAAGTGTTCTGACCACTTCTGACAAAGTGCAGTGAAAGTCACCAGACAAATCCAGAGTTATAATTACTTAATGTTGTTTTTATATTCACTGAATGTGAATTACCATAATATATGACATTTCTCTTGTTTAAATTTTTATGAAAACTAGTGTATATGGTTTTAAGTCAAAGTCCTGACATTAACCATCTGATGACAAGAGATAAATCTCTTCTCTGTAATCATAATCAGCCCTGCTTAAGCTCTTCTTACAAATCTACTCTAAGAATACATTCTAAGAATGCCTCTCTAATAGTAAATGATTGCCTGAGGCAGACATAAAAGTTTTTTCCTACACAATAAGGATTTTCTGTTTCCTGTGCCAATATAAACCTCTCATCTACCTTACCATCTTTCCTTTTTTCTTTTTAATTTTCTCTCCCAACTCTAAAACTATTTTATTCCTTCCCCTCAAGCATGTGTTTATCTCTTCATTTTTAAATATTACAGCTTTCTAACATCTGTCTCTAGGGCAGCATAATCTTTCTGATGAAATATTCCATGTTTTCCTTGAGCCCTTGTCAATATGTCTTCGTGTTAACAGCTTAGCAGATGGAGAAACAGAAGGAGTAGCCTCAGCTTACCTGAATGATTGCTCTCCAGCACCAGGCACATTACTGTCTCTAGTTACTTGATGATAGGAATTGGAGTAATTGGAAATAAGAAATGATACCTGACTTTTGCAGTATTATTTACTAAACTGCTGGCTGCTTTTCCTTGTTACTATTATATCCTTTTCCCTAGGCTCATATCAAGAGGAGGGAAAATTATGGCAACCTACCTAGTTTGAACGGTGCCTTCTTAGATAAGTAAAATAAACAGTAATACTAATATTGCTTTGGGCATAAATTAGCATGTTCCCAAGTGGTTCCAGGGTAATAACGGTGATTTAGCAGCAGCAATAGTTTTCGGCAACACCGAAATTGTGGGAGCCTGTGATATTGCTTTATGTAATAGCATTGTTCTTTTTACATAGGGCAAATTCTTCTTTTTTCTTTTTTTTAATTTAATAGACTGACTATTTTTTACTTAAGTACAGTCTTAGAGAGGCCAAAGCAGGGCTTTGAAGCAAGGATATAGGATAGTTAATGGTGAATACCCTTGGACTAACTATACAAAATGACCCACACCCCTCCTTGACTTGTTGCTTTAAAGAAACTACCTGGGTGGGCTCAGGTCTGTCAGCAGATTGTTCAGAAAAATTAATCATCGAGATGCAAAGTTTTCTTTGGCTAATAGAAACTTGTGAATGAAGTCTGTGAGTTACCTAGTTAGAATCTATGTGGTTTTCCCTTTGGAGATAAGAACAAGGGACAAGAGGTGACTGTCTAAATAAAAATACTGGAGTGTGTGGATGTGTGGGAGAAGTGGGGCGTGGTGCTGGAAGTTAGTACAAAGCTGGGAAAATTTGGAAAGGATCAGGCCTCTGAAATAGCTGGAAAGAAGTTTTCTCAAAGTTTTATGTGCAGATGAACCATCTGGGGGATCATGTTAAAATGCAGATTTTGTTTCACTGGGACCTGAGTGTCTGCATTTTTAACTAATTCCTGGACAATGCTGATGTTGCTGGTCTAGGAACCACACTTTGACTAGTCATGATCTTAAAGCTCATCTCCAAACCTGGAGCTGTCCAAAATACCTGTGACCAGCCTTTAGGTCAGTTTGGATTAGACCCTAAATAATTCAGAACCCCATTCTTAACTACACACAGAAATCCTGTTTTCTTTTTTGGATTCTGTCATACAAAGTTGATGGCCTAGTAATTTAAATAAAAATTCCAAATATGTTTAATCAAAATGTATAAAAAAATTATATGTACATGAGATGTATTGATAATAATTGAATTATATCCACTATATTAGAATGCTTTGATATGTTAATATTTCCTCATCTTTAACTACCAAACAAGTGAACAGTATATGAGATTTTTGAACTGTCACTCAATTTGTTGTGTTCATTGGTCCGTAGATTACCCTAGACACTAAGAATTTTTCTCATGCTGAACATTTGACACAGAATTTGAAATGAAAACTTTTTAAAACAATTGTAGCATCAGATCTTTATGTGGGTTGAAGTGGTGTAAGAAACAATTTCAGGAGAAATTTTCCATCTGGGGATTAGAATTCTAGCCCAGGTTTTCTCAAAATATAGTTCATGGACCTACTGCATCAAAACCACCCAGGTGCTGTGTTAAAGATGCAGTTTCTTTGAGTCTAGCTCAGATATACAAAACAAGCCTGTATTTTTAACAAGCCTCCAGATGATTGTTTTATATACTACCATCTGAAAATTACTGACTGGTAAGGTGTTGAATTCCTCATAAAGGTAATTTGAAGGGCGCTTTTCCTGTGGTGATGCTCTCCAGATTTAAATTAATTTGTCCTAAGAAGCATTGTTTTTGGTCATTACTTGACCACCCATCCTTTCCCCAGTCCTCCCACATCAATACCCCCCTCTCCTTTTCCCTAGCTTATCCTTCTGTTTCTCTGAGTTCTAGTCAAGCAGACAATAGCTACAATTTGGCCAGTAGGGGTGTGTAACTTGAAGAGTGAGAACACTCACAAATCCCACTTAAGTTTTCTTAATTGGTTCCCAGAACACAAAGCTCAAAAACTGCAATGTCCAGTTCAGAATCACACCAGGCAAGTCTGGAGTCACATGCCCTTGTACTGATGCGTCTTTAGCTCCTCCAATTCCATTGTCATCTGGGCGTCTGAACTAGAACTTCTCATTAACCGTACTTGGCTGAAAACCACTGAAACAGACCGAGTGACTTATCACAGCCCTTATACTTTTTCCTAGACATGAATGCCTCTTTGAAATCTTAAAAGACACAGATCATTTCCTTGAGGCACACTTGAAGGGTTATTTAAACACCCTGTTTCCTTATATGGACGTAGGAATTAAATTTTGTGAAGTTCTGGGGGGGGGGAATGTCCTTTCTTTATAAATCATACATATATTGCTTTCTGAACAATGATTAAGATAGATTTTGCACTTCTGGAGTAAGGTCATCACCTCAATGCATATTATAAAAGCTTACTTTGAGAACATAGTCCTTAGCAAGTTGAGCAGTTTTTCACAGGAGGTGGCTTCATAGAGGAAGAAATCACAGAGCTCAGAGCCCAAAGGCTTAAATTTTAGTCCTAGTTTGGCTTATTACTACCTGGATGTCTTTTGGCATGTCAATCTTCTCATATACAAAATAGAGGAGAAAAACTTTCATGCCCCTGAGGTTATTGTGTAATGAAGCAGTGTAGGAAAAACTGCATTGTAATTTGTAAGAGGACCGGGAAATGTTATTGCTAACATTTTTATTTTCAGAGCTTTTTTTACCCCCAAATTCAAACTGGTGCAAAATATAACAGTGATCATTTTATTTTTCCTCTCTAGTCATCCAGAAAAAAAATCAGCTTTTTGGCAATGGGGAATGTGTGCATGTGTGTGAATATTTTAAGGGATGAAGAAGGGAGTGGGTTCATGTAAACGTAGCAAATCAACTCTCTCTGTATTCATTTAAAAAGAAAAAAGGTCTAATAAAAGTTTATCTCATGTTCTCTATGACCTAAGAATTCATATGTAATAAGATTATGTGAATCAAACTGTACTTGTTTTCCCATTTGCATGATTTTGAGTAAAAGAGATTCACCAAAAAAAAAAAATTGACCGAAGTTTTCACATACTGAAAAACTTTAGTAAACTATGGTAGTACATTAGAGGAAACATCTGGCTGTTTTCCATCACTAGAGCCCTAAAGCAGTGTTAAGTCCTACAGTCCTACTTTTATTACTGAAAGCAAGTACAAAAGTTAAAGTTTAAAATAACAGATGTTATAAAGAATTTTGAAAAATTATGGACTCTGTCATATAAAGAGTCTTCTAGGAAACAAATATTTCTAATTGTTCCTTTGGTATCCAAGACATTTTGTGTCTTGATGTTACTGGAGAGTAGGTTCTTGTCTCCTCACTGAAAGAATTCAGAGACAAGACACAGAGGTCAAAAGAGTAAAGTGAGTACATATTAAGTGATAGGACACTCTCAAGGAGAATTTCTTTGCCATGCAGGTTATATGGGGTGTAAAAATGAATGGGTGGAATATTTATTGGGGAAGGAGGGGTTTTGGATCATATTCCATGATTTTTATCCCAGATCCACTTTCCTAAGGACAGGAGGGATCTTTGTCTTTATTTAGTCTTGATCGGAAGTGTCATGGCGTCATTGCATGATGGGAATTTATAATCTGCAAAGCTAATTTTATTATAATTTTGCATAATAAGCAAAAGTTTACATGTGGACACCAGAGATTCTTGCATCTTTCCACCTTTCTTTGCCTCCAGGACACTTACCTCCCCAAAATGTGTGGTCTCTTATTAGTCTGGAGATTCCTGCTTTTCTCTGTCTGCCCACGGACCCCCATTATTCACAAGATATGTAGTTTCCTGCCATTTGGCCTGTGTCCCCCTTTCTCTGCTCATATCTAGCTATCTGCCTGCTCTGACATTGGTAAGTAAGTGTACCCTACTTAGTAAGATTCCCAGTGAGTGTGAGATACGCCTTTCTTTATGAAGTGGCAGAAAGGTTAATATGAAGGAAAGCTGAGAAAGAA